GATTTTCTATATTAATTGGTGATTCATTTAAATAAGGTCATTATAAAATACCTGATGTGGGTGGTAAATTGTTGCTTATGGTATCAAGTTCATCATTAAAATTTTGATTTTCTATATTAATTAGTGATTCATTTAAATAAGGTCATTATAAAATACCTGATGTGGGTGGTAAATTGTTGCTTATGATATCAAGTTCATCATTAAAATTTTGATTTTCTATATTAATTAGTGATTTGGTATGTTCATTTTGTTGACTATCATCATTTTTATTAAATGTAATACTTGATATATCTAAATCTATAATAAAAAATATTTAAATCTTAATAGATTATATTACTTGTACTAGGTAGTGATTTTATATGGTCTTTGGGTATATAAATGAGTGTATCAAGATCATTTTCTTCCCTCCTACGTTTGGGTATATCTTATAAATGTCAAAATATTTTGGTTAGCCAAAATTATTTAAAATAATAAATTACCCAAAGTGGTTTGTACTGGCAATTTTAATTTAGTTAAAACTATGACTAGGTGTTTAATTTTAAATTCTAAAATAAAAATAGTTAGCTATTAATTTTAAATATCTTTTATATTAAATGTTATTTTGACCTGGTGTATTTACATCATCCTTATTATTTTCAATAGAGCCTATAATGCATAAGATATTAATTAGTACACTGGATTAAATATTTTTTAACCTCGTGTATTTATATCATGCTTATCATTTTCAACAGGGCATAAATTGCATGAGATATTAGCTGGTAAATTTTTTTGGTTACTTAGTAAATATTTTCTAATGTCCATTTCCTTCAATCTTAAAGTTCGTAAATAGGAAATAACAATCTTTACTTTTTAGTCATAAATTTAATCTCTTTAATAATTTCATTTATAAAAATGCTACAAAATATAAACCAAATATATATTATTAGAAATAAAAGCAGAGAAAGTAGATTATGCACTATTTTCATATTATTATTTTCGAACCATATCTTCGATAAATTATAATAAATATTTTTTTAAATATGCATAAATAATATATTATTATATTTTATTAGATTATTATCAATGACTTTAAAATAATATACAGAATAATTTATATATATATATAAGTAATAATATCCTTCCACAAACATCAAAACCAGAAAAATATAAATATTCATGGTATTTATTTGATATAAAGTCACTTTTGAGTCTTTTGAACGAATAATCTAAAAAAATTGCTCTGAGGGGGGGGGGGGGGGTAGATTATGCACTTTTTTATTTCATATTATTATTTTCGAACCATATCTTGGATAATTTATAATAAATATTTTTTTAAATATGCATAAATAATATATTATTATAATTTATTAGATTATTATCAATGACTTTAAAATAATATACAGAATAATTTATATATATATAAAAGTAATAATATCCTTCCACAAACATCAAAACCAGAAAAATATAAATATTCATGGTATTTATTTGATATAAAGTCACTTTTGAGTCTTTTGAACGAATAATCTAAAAAAATTGCTCTGAGGGGGGGGGGGGGGTAGATTATGCACTTTTTTATTTCATATTATTATTATCGAACCATATCTTGGATAATTTATAATAAATATTTTTTTAAAAATGCATCAATAATATATTATTAAAATTAATAGATTATTATCAATGACTTTAAAATAATATACAGAATAATTTATATATATATTTAAAATTAAAAGTAATAATATCCTTCCACAAACATCAAAACCAGAAAAATATAAATATTCATGGTATTTATTTGATATAAAGTCACTTTTGAGTCTTTTAAACGAATATTCTAAAAAAAAAATTAATTGCTCTGGGGGGGGGGGGGTCCAAACCCGAAAACCCCCCCCCGTAGCTACGCCACTGCAACCGATATATATTTTTTACGAACCGAACCTGAACCGTTATTTTTATCCGAACCTGAACCGATATTTGTTTTGGTTTGGATCCCTGATAAAAATCAATTTTAAAAATTACCATGATTTACCGGAATGTTCACGCCTATTAATAATTTCTTAGGAGCACGTCATTCTTAGTAATTCGAAATTTATTCACATTTACGCTGTGACCTATCATGCCATGTGTAATTTCCAATCCCGTGTCCACTTTTAGTTTAGACTATGGAAATTACTGTTTAAAATATATTTATCACTTTACCACATGATGTTTGCAATAAGTTAGAAAAAAATCTCATGTCTTCCCTTTGACATAATAATCGATAATTGATCAAAAAAATTTTTTTTATTTTGATCATAATAATGTATGTTATATATAAGTCACAAATTGTATTTAACAAGCAGTTTATTGTATTTTATATATTGGTATGAAATAAAATAAAACAGTTTTTATTTGCATGGAAACATAGTGCACATTGACATTTCGAGCATTTTACATGTGTAACACCTTTACATAGTGGATTTTTGAACCTTTGACGATTATTCGTCCACTCTGGGAAATGTCTAATTTGGTCCGTGCGAATATCTGTAGACGGTACGAAAAATGTAGGCCCCCTTCTTTTTTTATCTAAATAAAAATTTAATACAATAATAAATAAATAATCACCTTCTATTCGATTTTCGATCATAGAAGAAGGACGTCCGCGTTTTAATTCTATTTTAGCTTCAACTTGACACATTGTTGTGGCTACTTCTTGGCGAAATTCCGATAGAGAAAAAACAGTATTGTCATCTGATTTGGCTTTCTCGCCTTGAATACGCCGATATAATAACCAGGAATTTACAACTGCCATATCAATAAGGTGTTGGAAGACTCTTATATACCACTTTTTGGATCTGGTTGTATTATGGTATCTTCCAATATTGCTGTCTAACAAATCAACCCCTCCCATATGTTTGTTATATTGTTTGACAAGCATGGGACAAGCTATGTTTAGTCTTTTCTTGGTTTTGCGCTCACATCGTTCAATATGACTTTGGGGATATTTCCCGTACAATGTTGACAAAAAGGTTACCGTTTTATTATCTTTCCATACTAAGGATGTTATATCTACCCCTTCAATATATGCCATGTATTCAAAGGATGACCCTCTGATCTCTTTTTTCATTTTGATCTCTGTAGGAAGCTTACAATTTGGGATCCTATTCCTCCTTATAGTACCAAGACTGTATATACCTATAAATATACTTGAAAAATTAAATATAATAGATTTATTATGCCTCTTTTTGCCAAATATATCAAAAGGTTTATTGAGGTGTAGTAATTATCAAAATATAGCTTAAAATTTTGATTTCTAGGTATTGTTCGGCTTAGACGCACAACAATATTGCTGGACGCTCCTAAATCTGGTTCTGTTGTTGGTCTTTTTTCAGAATCATTTTCCTGCCCAGAATATAGTTCAAAATCATAGGCAAATCCTGATACACCGCATAGAATGAAAAAGCCCCATTTGTGAGGTTTCATTGGCATATATTGTTTTAAATGTATACGAGCTTTGGTTGAGCAAATTTGCTCATCGATTGATAAGCATTCCTCTTTAGGAATTGTATGAAACCTATCTTGAAAGTGTTTCACAATTGAGACTACTTTTATAAGCATATTATGGCCTGGTTGACCTTTTGCTATAGAATTATTATTGTCATTAAAATGAAGAATGGATCGAATGCTTTCAAATTTAGTGATAGTCATAGTCTTTTTTATAAGATCATTGCCAATTACATCTTTCCAATAGTCTCTTATGGACGGTAATTGGACAATCGACATGAGAATATTAATCCCAATGAATTTCCTTAACTCCATTATAGAAATATTTATAGGTTTGTTAATATTTTTTATTGTTGCATATTTGGTTGATTCGAGAACTACTAAATCTAGGAAATTATCATTCAAAAAATATGATGAACATTGATAGGGAGTATGTAAAGCCAGTATCTCGCTGGATAAAGTAGACTTAGGGATATTTAAAATTTTTTCCCTCCATAATATATCTCTTCGTCTATTTATAATAGTAAAATTATCTGAAAATGTTGAATTATCATCCTCATTATCGTGGTCATCATCTAAAAAGATATCATCAGAAGAATTTCAGATGAATAAATCATTTTAGTGTCTTATATGTAACGTACATATATTATCGATTAAAAAATTTTTAATTAATTTTTTTTAAATATAAAAACGGAAAAGAATATAGGAATATTTTAGTTATCTGGTTCATATTTTTTTGAAAAATAATATCAAAGTTTAATATTGAAAAAATGTAATTAAAAATTATAAAAAATGTCAATTTTGAAATATAGGGAACAGCTGACATTAAATACTCGTACTTTAAATAAATATAAGAATTTCTATTTAAAAAATTGATTATATAAAAAGAATGTTACTTATAAGATACAATTTAAATTTTCGCGCCAAAATAATTTACGCGGTAAAATATGTCAGAAAATTTACTATGTGACTGATTAGTAGTCATATGTAATAGATTATAACAAATTTAAAAGTAATAAGTAGCATGATGGTGTCTCGTGTTTTTGTCCTTCATTTTAACTTGTATATTTAAATACACCTCATAGATGATAACCATGCTGGTATAATAAGGGCCAGATTTAATTTTTAAAAAATTAATTGACCAATTGAATGTCCTACAAAATCTGGTCACCATTAATCATTAAACAGGATTATGCGAATAAAACTTTCGTTTGCATTTAAAACGAGGTTTAAACATTTTTAAAACTCTTATACACTCCTTTGAATGGTTTAAGGGTATTTATTGATTTAAAATGATTTAAAACTTTGCATTGATGTCCTTATTAAATTTTTCCTTTGGATGTTATATAAATCTCGTCTTAGCTTCATCAATCACGAATTTGCTCATATAATTTAAGATTTCATAATAACAAATTTAACGTGTGCACTTTACTTATAAGATTATCTACTAGTTTTCTTAAATAAATTTAAACAAAAGACGTATAAAAATGTATTAAATTTTAAAAAAAATTTAAAGATATAATACAGAATTTAAATTACGCTGGAAAAAAAAACTATTATGTTGAAAATGAAAATAACAATAAATTTGAAGTAAATAAAGTTCGATTTGTGATAAACTATATTTCTTTTAAAAATTATATAATATTACATTATACTATTTGTACTTGCATTTATCAATGATTTATAAAATAGTATTATATATAAAATGTTTTGGTCACATAGCACCCTCGCCCCTCCTCAAATAAATAGTGATTTATTTTTTGATAACATATCCTGCTTATTCAAATTGGGAAAATAATGACATAATGATTTTTTTAAAAATGAATATTATGCTAAGTTCACATAAAAATGATGCGCGTTTATTGATATGTATAATACCATATATATTTATTAATTTTTGCATATTCTTATAGCTCTCAAATAATTTTGTTGCATAGGAATAATAGAAAATTGATATAGAGCGCGAGAACCGACAAAAAAATCATTTTCCTCCACGGGTAAAATAAATTCGTTCATCTTGAAAGCCACAGGCTTGTAGCAATATCTTCCAGGTGTGGTAACTGTAAAAATTCCACCGTGTTTTCGAGGTTTGTAATTTTGAATGGTACCCTTTACATTTTAAAAAAAAATTAAATATTAATAAGTATGAAAAATAATAAAATAAAATTCTTATTTCCAGAAATAAAAGAATCAAAGTTGACCTCATTTTTCTTATTTTATTTTCTTATTCATCGTTTGTTAGAAATAAACCCCCTTTAAGGTTAGAACCATGTTAATAATGTTAAAACCTAACTGCTAACTCAACCGGGTTTTGAAAGTGGAATCGGATAAACCGGTTTACAATGGCAAGACCTTAGACCGACATTCATTTATATTAAGTAAATGTTTATTAAATTAGCATTATGAAAAAAAAATCAACTCTATCTTTTCTTAATTAATAAATATATATATATCCCTCAGCTCAAAATTTTTTTCCAACCCGACCGACTAAATTTAAAAAAATTTGAGTGTGAATTTTATACAAAAAACAATTAAAAAATAAGTGTGTTACCTTAAATAAAAGTTTATTTGATCTCCATAATAATATTTATATTAAGTTGCATATTGGAAACATATACCTTTAGTTCAGTTTAAATATTTAAAAAGTTGAAATACAATCAAATTTAAAAATTACTGCGATTATATAAAAATAATGCGCATGATATAATGATATATATCAATATCATTATCAATAGTATCGGATAGTGAATAATTGTAATATATAAATAATGAGGAGTTGACAGGCTTTAAACAAGTTCTCCTATCTTAAAAGGCTCTACCAGCTACTGAAAGCGCGCTTTCACTGCTAGCCGAGGAAGTGGGATATCTAGGAATTTAAGAGCCAAAAATACTTAAACTGGGAAAGTCGTTTTGATAAGTCTTCCATCAATTTAAGATTTGGCAAACGATTTTAAATATTGAAAATTTGAGGCTATTTAATTAAATAGATATTGGATAAATATATTTTAATTCACCTGATAGAATATGATGAAAATAAAGTATGTAATAATAACACAAAAATATAATAACAAAATAGTTTGGTAAACGAATGTTATATAAAATAATAATTGAAAAATGACATGTTATTCAAGTATAATTACTTCACCGCGAATTCGTACTAACTGGTGGGGGGAGGGTTAGTTAAAAATCATGGTCAATAATTTGAAATTTTATGAGGATTTATAGTTTTCAGAATAAATCAATATGACGTAAAATATTTCATATAAAATATTTTTTAAAAAAACAAATTAAATTTAAACAAAAAAAAACTTCATATCTTATAGAGTTCTTGAAATTTTCAACGGAAAAATGGATATTGTATACAGCAAACTGTGTTTTGGCACGGTTGAATTTGATAGAAAATTTAACTTCATCGCCGGCATAATAGGTAGGCCAATTGAGGAAAGAAGATTTTTCGTAGTTTAGGCGAACGGGAGAATTTCTATTTTTGAAAAAACCATAAGATAAAAATTATATTTATGCCATAATAAAGTGACCGAAAATCCCTAGAAAATCGGTAGTAAAAGAAAAACACTCAGTGAAAGAGATTTTACTAAATTTTGCTGTAATTTAAAATAAATAAAAATAATTCCTACTTCCTAACTTTTCTCACCTTAAGGTCGTTTCCTTTGATTTAATTTAGATACTTAACTGCTTTTTAGCCTAGACTAAACAGTCTTTAAGCTAGGATACCCTACTTTAGTTTGTTTTAAGTATTTGGTGGAATTGTTATTTTTAGTATTTATTTTCGGTTATTTAGTAATGATTCTAACCAGTACAAACCCTTGGAACTTAGGATTTCATGTTAACTTTTATTAAAACTAAAGTATAATTATAATTTTAAATCACTTTTTATCAAGAACATTCTCTTTATCTTATTTTTTTACAGTTTGGTAAAATATATATCTTTCAAAATCAATTTTACTTAAATCGTAATTTTTTAAAAATAAATAAATAATCATTCTAGTATAAACGTAAAGCTAAAACCAAAACTTAAAATGTATAATCAAAAAACATCTTTGTCACGCATAGTAATGTGGTAACAACTAACAATACCTAGCATTTAAATACATATCGTGTATCCTCTATTTATCATTAAAATTAAGGCTGGATTCGTATGGGTACCGATACGATAGGATTTAGCATCAGAGAGATTTCAAAAAAAAATCGTTTGAGATCAATTTTCCATTATTAAAATCAATAATATTTAGAATTATTATTACCAAAATATTAATAAAAATTTTTTTATCTCATTAAACAGATTTAAAAAATCGATCAGCTGTTAAATGGCGTAGGATCGGGTCCCACTATGAATCCTACTTAACACATTAGCATAAACTATATCTGAAAAAAAAATGCTTAGGGTATAATTATATAAATATGAATATATCTTACTTTAAAAGTAGATTTCCGCGAACTTCACCCGTACCACTGCGACATAAATATTTTGGGGTATGAGGGGTGGTTATAACGCCCGATTTGGAATCGCCATCACAGAAATTTAAAAGTTGGCGCGGGTAAAGAATTTTTAGATCCGATAAACAATTACTCTTGAAATAAATAAATTTTAGGATAAAAAATAAATAAAATTTATTTCATATAATTATAATATATATTGACCAATGTTTTATTTTTCTTTGTTAAAAAAGAAAGAAAAATAGCAAAAAAAAATATAATAAATAGCTAAAATAGAGCATAAAATATTAAACTCGACGAATTAAAGCGAGCCATAGAGTTCAAAAAAAAATGAAGGATAAATATTGTCATTATACATATAAAAGAGAATATAGTGATAATACTTTTACTCACATATGCCTCAATTCTAGATTTATTAATGAGAGCGGGAACTATATTATGAAGTGGGAAATTAGTATTCACTGTTGATTCCAACACTATTTGAGAGAGTACTGTTGAAAGTTTAAAAAAATTTTCTTTAAAGTGTATATATATAATTCTTTTCATATTTCTAATCGATAAATTTTTAAGCTAGAAAACATAACCAACATGACGGAACAGGAAACGCAAAAAATGTTTTTGCTCAGGACCCCTGATTTTAAGTGTAGAGAAAACATATATTTCTTTCTTTCTCTCTAAGAACTGGTAAATATCCGGTTCTCCTCTTGGAAGAGACAAGATATTCAACGGATCTAATATCCGGTATCTCTATAACTTGGGGTAGCTGTGCCATTATTTTTTAAATATATTACCCATTTCGGGATAAAAAACCGATTTTTGGGATAGGTACCGCCCAGTCCAAAGCCCGCAGACCAAGAGGTATTTAATCCGGGCCAGACAAAATGTGCAAATTTTTTTACGGGGCTTAAGTCAGGGCCAAGTTTCGAAAATGATTTTAAACTTGATGATTAGACAACAACTTTGTACAAAATATATTTTACCAACTGAACCGTAAAAAATCTCCAAGAGCCGGTTCGGTCCGCAACCGACCCTCAAATTATAACTACAATCCTTATGGGAAAATCTTAAATATATTAGGCCATTTTCCAGGCAGAACATTTTTTTTCAAAGCGGTTTTTGAGGCATGTTGATTTTTTTAATAACGATTAAATGACATTAGGAAGATTTCCGACCAACAGATTAAAAAAAAAATTATTATTATTATACAAAAGATTGGAAATAAGAAAAAAAAATGGCTGCATGAATCAAAAACTTCTAGAAATGGCCTTACCAATATTATTTTTTGAAATTTTTCATTATTTGTTTTAATTTTTATATAAAAATTTATAGTTTAGCTCTAATTTAAAAAGTGTTAAAATAATTTTTAAGATATTTTTACGTCCCATATCGGACATTCTACCCCCCCCCCCCCCCTCCTCACTATCTTTATTGCCTTTTAAAACGCTAACATTGCTCATAAGATTGGTTTTAGAAAAAAATATATTTGTCCCATAGGAAATCGAAAATTATAATAACCTGGCACAATAACTACCCCACCTATTCTCGTTGTAAGTTGATTGACGTGAAATAAGGATAAAATAAATATACTGGCAATTATTTTTGGAAATATTGCAATTATTTTTTAGGCCCATGCAGTGGCATTCCTCCCTTGGGGAAAAAATTGGCAATATACTATATATAATTGTTTTAAAAAATAGCTCCAGTAATTCCCTCTTAAAATAAATCCCTCCATTTATGATATTTAAATGTTAACATTTAGTAAATAATATATTACCTTCTTCACAAGTCAAATTCCTATTTATTCAAGCCCGGCCTGAAAATTAAAAAAAAAATTTGTACAGAACAGCCTGCTCTAGCATAAATTTTTTGTATGTTTGTCTCCAAAAAAAACTCGACCAGAAATAAAAATTAATTGGCCGCCCAGCCCGACTAATAAATATCAATCAATCTATTATTTCACATAATTTAATGATATAGTATTTTAAAATTTAAGCCTAACCCGGCCAGCCCGAATTTTTAAAAATTTTTTAGGCCCAACCCAGTGAAAACCGAAATATTTTTAAAATCTACTAATTATATTATCAATTTAACCATTAAAAATTATGTAATTCTTTTCTTTTAGAAAAAGTAGTAATCACTTTTTATAATATCTATAAGGGTTTCTTGAATGGAACACTTAAGAGTACGTCCAAACTCAAAAACAGTAATAAAAAAATTAAAGATTTACATATTTAAGACCTTAACTTTCCGGTGGGTAGATAATGATGCGGAAACCTTTTATTTATGCCCTTTATTAAAGGAGAATATTTAAAATAGAAAGATATATTTTTAATTAGGGGTGTACCGATACCACTTTTTGGAGGCCGATCCGATATTCCAGATATTAAACTGATATCGGCAGATAACCGATCCGATATCATATCTAATTTTGTATTCTGTAAAGATACCAATGGTTTTAATTTGTAATATACTACTTTTTATTAGTATAACATCTATAATTTAATTATACCATAACTTATGTCATTTAAATATATTATAATGATCAGTTATAGTTTATATTAAATTCTATTGCCTAATAGTATATAAAATATTTTTATTATAAATCACTTTTATATAAAAAGTAACAAAATTAATCTTACATACATAATAAGTAATAAACAAATATATTATGAAATTTAAATAAAATATTTAAAATAATATTTAATTAATATATTGAAGATTTCTTTTTAGAAATATCAAAATTTCCATAATATCAGAAATCAGGCTGCGGCGATGGTAACTGTCAATTATCTGCAAAGTTAGGCCCGGCCGGTACCCGGCCCGAACGGGCTCGGGCCTAATTCTATTTAAAATAATCGGGTTCGGGCCGGGCCTAATATTTTTAAAAAATTTCGGGCCGGGCCGGGTCGGACTTTGGAAATTTTATTAAATATATCTAAATTTATCAATTTTATATAAAAATTTTTATGTAAAATAAAAATTTTTGATTTAATTTATTGAAACTAAACGCTATATAACCTATGTCTTTTATTTTAAGTAATTATAAAAATTAATTTCTATATTTAAATAAATTCGGGCCTGGCCGGGCCAGTAAATTTTTTAAAAATAAATTTCGGGTTCGGGCCGGGCCGGCAAAACTTTTTTAAAAAAAATTCGGGCCGGGCCGAGCTTGAAAAATTAGGCCCGATGCAGATCACTACTGTCAATATCACCAGCTTCACTAAAAACAGATTCTGAAGAGATTATGGCACACTTTTATAAACAGAATGCGCAAAAAAATAACAATATTGCAGAATGTTTATTAATTAATTAATTATTATTAAAAAAATATGGATTTCGATTTTATTTATAAAAATAAATGATTTTAGATACAACTTTTTAAAAAAAATTTATAACATTTTATTTTTGTTAAGAACGCCATTTTATATCAGATCGGATCGGCAAATTTTATAATATTGGCCGATAACCGATATTTTATAATAGGTGAAATATCGGCCCGATCCGATAAAAAATATCGGTACATCCCTATTTTTAATCATAAAAATATAAATAACTAATAATTAACTTAGTGTGTTAGACGTAGTATTTTTTAAAGTGCTAAACATGGATAACTTGTCGTCGGGTAAGATAATTAGAAACATCTGATAATTTATGTTCATGTCACAACTGTAATTTTCGATTTCTTTGATAACGATAGAAGTTTCAAAAGTAGATAGGTATGATCTAATTATATAAACATTTTTTTAAAAAATAGCTAAGCATAGTGTTTATTAGAAACCTTTCCAAAGCTACTCAGCCTGTGCCAGATCCGCGAAAAAATTTATTAAATTTATGATCCATAGTAATTATTTTTTGCAAGGTACTGAGTGCACTACCCAAAATCTTATTTTAAAAACAAGTCATTCAGGATTTTATTAATTGAACTGTTGAAGAAGAATATTTCAGAAAACACAAAAAAAATTATAAGCACCAATGGGCAAATAAATATTTTTGGTGCTATTCTTCAAAAGAAAACAATATAATTTTAACCTTTGTCAGGATCCAAGCCCAGCCCGGATTAAAGTGTTAAAATAAAGACGCAATTACCGGGGCTGAGGTTTCCGTCCCTGACCAACACAAGTTCGGTCAAATCGGTCCATATTGGGCTGTACTTTGTAATGTAATATTATACAATAAAATCTTCCATCTTTTTATAAATTTAATCAAATCTATTGAGTAAAATATTTATTATTACATGGTTGGGTCAAAAATTGTGAATTTCGACTCCGATAGAGCATAATCTTGTAGTCTAGAAATCAAGGCTGCTCCTTTCAATTTATAACTATGGGACATGATAACAAACCAATATTTCAGCTCGTTCTTGCTGGACTTGAGATTTAGCTTAGAATCGAACTTTGAACAAAGTTTTGCTATGTCCTCTAAGTCTTTGTCAGAGGTAGGAGATTCTGGCTGCTTTAAAATAAAAAATAGGAAATATGCATTTATAGTATATTTCAGGATTTTTTTCCCTTTCACTTTTTTAAAAAAACATTTGATTATTTATTTTGGGAATCAAATGTAAAAACAGTTTTAAAAAAATAGCTCCTGAACTGGCTCTAAAAAAGCAGAAACTTGTGCTGGGGGGCCATGTAAATTTTTTTATAAATTATAACAACTAACCAGTTGAAAAAATCCTATACATTATTAAAGCATTCATTGGTGTATCATATTAAATTTCTCTTTGAACTAATTTACATTATAATCAAACTATTTAGAAATGATAATTTTAAAAAAAAATCCAAGCAGAGTATAAAAAGTAGGGTTAGGGTTAGGAAATACAAAAAAGTTTGATAATTAATACTTTTTCAATTTAACTTTTTTTGTAATTTGTAATCTGCAAGTCTATTCTTGATTAAATAAAATCTGATAATTCTTATAATTGTTTTTGATTGAATTGGGCAACTTCATTGACTTATTACAGTTTAATTAAAGAAAGATGTGGATATATGAAATTATTTTTCAATATTTAAAGATTAATTTTGATTATAAATAAATATATTATTCTATTGCAATAAATTTGCACTATATTTATATTTTTATATTTTAATTTTGCATCAAACATAAATTTTCTTTATAAATTTATAAAATAAGAAAAGGATCGAGATCCTTTTTTAAAAAAATAGGTTATTTTGGATTTCGATCCCTATTGTGAAAAGATTGTGATTTTGATCCATTTAAAGATTAACAAGCCTGCTGAATATTAACATCCTATTTAAAATATATAAAAATGGAATGATAATTTAAAATAAATTATAGGAATATGAGTGATACACAAAGGAATCAAAATATCATGCATTTCTACTTAATGTTATCTAAAACCCAGATACTGGTGAACTTGATTTAGATTCGAAAGGTTTATATATAATCAATTTAATAAACAAAAAAATATGATATAATATGGCTATGGAATAAATAATAAATATTATTTTATTAAAAAAACTAGGAGATATGGAATAAGAAAACTGTGTCAATCTTTTAGTTTATATAAATTCATTTTTTTAATAAAAATAAAACCAAAAGCAAAGATTTACCCCAATCATACTATGAGAGGGTTAGTTTAAATAGCAATGGATGAGAATATAGGTTGTAGATATTTTTTAAACAATGGACAGGCAATTGAATTTGAAATATTATTTAAGAAAAATGAGCACAGACATTTATGTTATATTTATTGATAATAATTTTGTGCTTTATTTATTTTATTTTAACTTACAAAGTTATGAAATTAAATTTTTTAAAACTCGGGGTAGGTAAATTAAAAAACATGGACAGGTGGGTGAACAGGTTATATTATTAAAAAATGACTGTTCAAAATTATAGATCATAATGACTGCTATATCATTTTAAAAATTGATAGTATATATATAAAATTATAAAGATGTTGGCTATTTTAATTCATGACCATTCTGTGGGTCTAATATGAAAACTGGAAGGTGGGTGGGGGTGAGGGGGGGGGGGTAAAAGAAAATATTTGTTGGTATATTATCCATAAAAATCAAAATATTTATCTTTTAAAAATCTACCTTGTTAGTTGATTTTTGTACATCATCTTCCAGATATTTTATATTATGGCAAAGTTCATATGGATTTATCTTATTGTTTGATTCCACAGAGTCAAAATGGGTAAACAGCTTTTCAATTTCATCCAAGACATCACCCATGATCGTAAATATCTTTTCAAAATATTACAAAAAACATTAATTATTGTATAAAAATATTAAAATTTAAACTTTTATAGTTACATTTCTCATAAGTGTGAGCAAAGGTTTCGAAGTAATGACGTGATAAGAAACAAGGGTTAAAGATGCAATATTAATTTAATTATTAAAAGAATATTTAATTAATAAATAAATTATATCCGCATATTTTTGAAAAAGGGCATAGAAGCATAATAATTGTACTAAAATGTGCAAAACTTATGTTAGTATGATGTCTGAATATGAGAAAGTTTATGAAAATGATAGTTTTTAAAAAAATGCGATTTAAATTCAGTAAGTTTTGATAAAATCATATGATTGATGTACCTTCTCTATCAAATAAGTAGATAATGTGACAGTATACTTAAATCAAATTTTGACATAACAGATGGTCACATTATGTGACCATCACATAGTTATAAAACTAGGATTTAGCAAATGGGATGGGAAGGGGCTATAGAAGTATATTTGGGGCCTCCCTTAACCCTCATTTGATCGTTTTTGAAGGAATCTCGATTATGGAAAAATATGTTTAAATATTTTCTATTTATTATACGTAGTTTATTATTGTCAAAATTTTAGCCAATTTTACAAATTACAAAATTACTTAGAGTAAATAATTTATACTGAATTTCACAGATATTTTTTTTTAAATCAAAGACGATTTTTCAAGTAAAATTTTGATTCTCTCGGAATTTATTTTTTGAATTTCTCATAAGAAATACTATATGGCTAAGACTTTTGCTATTAATTTATTTTATTTTTTAAAATTAAATTAACGAGTGAATTTTTTGAGTTAAATTAATTTATGCGCTTGTTTAGTTTTATTTCTATGCTCTCTGGTTCAAGTCATAGGCGGTAGATAGGGGGGAGTACATTTATTAACATAATATCTAGTGTTGTTAAACGGCTCGTTTTGAGCCGATTTTTTAAAGGGCTATCTCAATATTTTAGCTAGAAATATTTTGCTTAAGCCTCGAGATTTTGATAATATATGTTTAAATCTTTGCTCCTCTATGAGCAAAATCTTCAGGCTAGAATAATATTTTTCTGGATAAAATATTGAGTTAGCCGTTTTTAAAAATCGGCTCAAAACAAGTCGTTTAACAACAGTAAGAATATCATGTCATAATAAAAAGTTAAATTGATTATATGGAAACACGACAATATATGTCATCAGAGTAGGTGGTGATAAGAGGGAGGGGGTATATTTTTTAAACATAATACTTGTCATGGGCAAATGAAAGCTAATAAAAAAGACAAATTGATCACATTGATAATCAACGTTTAATGTCACCAGGATAATCGTTGGGGGGGGGGGGGTAAGAGGCGGATTAATTATATATATAATGTCAATATGGATATCAAATGAAAGTTAATACAAAGATCAATTGATTACACTATTGCTTATCGCTCTAGTGTCCTGCGGGCTTGGAGGGGGGGGGGTGCATAGTAAAATATCACAACATGGTTATCAAATAAAAATAGTCTAAAATGTGTTTGAAATTATGCGAACTTAACATTTGCTCAAAATTCAAAAATCTTCACAGATCATAGCTCTTTTGAAGATAAAAAATGCAAAGATTTTTTCGCTAAAAAAAATTTTGAGCTTGCTCAAAGAAGGTTTTTTAGCAAAATAAAAAATGTTTTTTTTGTAATAAAATCTTCAATGATTTTGAGAAATAATTTTTGTAATTTTATAATATAATAAAATCTTTAGTGATATTTTATTATTTATAATAAAACATTTTTGATCCTAAAATTTTTTGTTCAAATATTTTGTGATTTTTCAAAAATAAAATCTTTGATATATATGCTTTTAATTTATTTTTTGATTTTAGAAAAATATTATTTTTCATAAGTTGTAATAAATGTGAGAATTTAACGTTACATATTTTTTAATATTTGGTGTTTTGTCATAATTAATGTTTTATATTTAATGTAAAGTATAAAAGTGACATACTCATTTAAGAACCTTTAAAAATTTTTTAATTTTAATAAGCTAGTTGAGCATGTTTCAAGATGGTTTCAGTGATTGTAAAGGCTATAAAGGTGACAATTGTCATAATCGTTATTTTTGAACTTTTTTGAGTTTTTTTTAAGTAAATAAGTAAAAATATGTTTTGTAAATATGTTAAATTAAAATTTCAGTGAAGATGTACCATAGAAAAGTGACAATTGTCATAATTGTTAATTATCAACATTTTTAAATTTTTTTAAAGCAAATAAATAAAAATATGTTTTGAAAACATGTTAAATTAAAATTTCAGTGAAGATGTACCATAGAAAAGTGACAATTGTCATAATCGTTAATTATCAACATTTTTAAATTTTTTTAAAGCAAATAAGTAAAAATATGTTTTGTAAACATGCTAAATTAAAATTTCAGTGAAGATGTACCATAAAATCAACTAATAATAAAAGGGGATAAATATAATAAAGTTTTATTTCAATTTAATACATATTGAAATTAAAATGGACAAGTAATTAATTAACAAGATTAATCGTTGTGTTGGAAATTTAATAAAAAATAAAAAAATGTGTTAGACTTTTATTAATTTTTTAAATTTTTCTTAAATAAGTAAAAAAAATATTTATTAATTTTTTAAATTTTTCTTAAATAATAAAAAAAAATGTTTAATATAGAATCTTTATTATCCAATAGTAATATTAATTTTTCCAATTTAAATGAAAACTCCCAATCTTCGTCGAGAATTCAAAGACCAAAAAGAATACACAAATATTGGAATAAAGAAAAAATAGATATAGTTAGTAAAATGTTATCAATGCCAGAAAGAGAACAGATGAAAATTAAAGACATTGCAAAATACTTCGAAATGTCTACAGTATCAGTTCATAAATTTAGACGGGACACATTCCCAGATATAAATGGAGAACCTTTAAAAGAATATAATATTCAAAAAAGAGGAAGTAAAAAAAAAATACTTCCATAATTGAAAGACTCATCATAAATTTATTGATGGATAATAATACTCTTACTATCCAGCAGATAATAGAAAATTTACCTCCTGGTAGTCCAAGAACGAAAATAACAATTAGCAAACATATAAAAAATATAGGTTGGTCAAAAAAAAAGAGCTGGCAAGGAGCTTGATAGAAGAAATACTCCTGGTGCAATCAATATTCGTCAAATCTATTGTGTAAAGATCTTAAATACCCCAAGAGAAAAATTATATTTCTTAGATGAAACTGGAATAAACTTGCACGTTGTACCAATCTACGCCTGGGAACCATACAATGTCCGTCCAGTAATAAAAATTCCATCCTCTAAGGGTAAAAATGTAAGCATACTTTGTACAATTTGAATTGGAGGGGTAATCCATTATAAAATAATCGAAGGAGCTTATAATGGGTTGTTATTCCGTGATTTTATGACAGAGCTTATCAGTGTCTTACCACCAGATGCAATTATTGTAATGGATAATGCATCTATCCATAAAAGCCATCTTATTGATGCATATAAAGATAGGATTGAATATCTACCACCATATTCACCTCAGCTAAATCCCATCGAAAATTTTTTTGTAGTCTTGAAAAATAAATATCGAGCAATAAATCCCCGCCCTAATTCAAGAGATGAAATTATTGGGAATATTATTCAGCTCTTACATGAATTTATTCCTTATGATTTTACTAACTTTTACAATCACATGCAAAATTATTTGGAGTTGGGTTATCGCGGGCAACTGATTGGTAATCCTTTTAATTGATTTGTATTAATAATTATAATATTAACTCTTTTAATTACTAAATAGGTACCATCATCAAATTCGTGGAACAAAAGAATATTTTGATAAATTATAATTATATTTTTTATGTATTAATTATTTTATCGAAGTTATTATAAAAATTTATAGTTATTATCATATTTTTATCGAAATAAATTGGTGCAAAATTTCAAAATAGATTACATTTAAGAAATTCTAAAATATTTTCAAATATCAAAAAGACTTTTTACAAAAAATGATTTAGAATTTTAGATAAAATTTACACAAAAATCTTACTTGAACATTCTCAAAGAAGATCAAAAAAAAATTTCCATTTTTTATTACAAATTTATATTTACAACATAATTTCTTTTTATTAATTTAAAAACGATTAATCTTGTTAATTAATTGCTTGTCCATATTTAATTTCAATATGTATTAAATTAAAATAAAATTTTATTATATTTATCCCCTTTTATTGTTAGTTGATTTTTAACACTCGTTTCACTATGACATGTTTACAATTTGCTTTAAAAAAATTTAAAAATGTTGATAATTAACGAATATGACAATTGTCACTTCTCTATGGTACATCTTCACTGAAATTTTAATTTAACATGTTTACAAAACATATTTTTACTTATTTGCTTTAAAAAAATTTAAAAATGTTGATAATTAACGATTATGACAATTGTCACTTTTCTATGGTTCCTCTACTGAAATTTTAATTTAACATAATTTTTACTTATTTACTTAAAAAAAACTCAAAAAAGTTCAAGAATAACGATTATGACAATTGTCACCTTTATATCCTTTACAAACACTGAAACCATCTTGAAACATGCCCAACTAGCTTATTTTAATTAAAAAATTATTAAAGGTTTTGAGATGAGCATGCCACTAATATAATTTACATTAAATATAAAACATTAATTATGACAAAACACCAAATATTAAAAAATATGTAATCGTTAAATTATCACATTTACAACTTATAAAAAATAATATTTTTCCAAGATCAAAAAATAAAATAAAAGCATATATCTCAAAAATTTTATTTTTAAAAAATCACAAAATATTTGAACAAAAAATTTTAGGATCAAAAATGTTTTATTATAATAAAGATTTTCTTACTAAAGATTTTAGTATATTAAAAAATTACAAAAATTTTTTTATCATAATCATAGAAGATTTTTTAACAAAATTTTTTTTTTAATTTGCTCAAAAATCTTCTTTGAGCAAGCTCAAATTTATTTTAGCGAAAAAATTTTCGTAAAAAATTAATCTTCAAAGATTTTTTCCTCAAAATTTTGCTTCCACATTGTATCTCAAAAATATATGAAATTTTTTAATTTTGTCATTCATAAATTTTGACATTTATAATAAGGTTGAAAAATAAATATGTCCTAGTTCGTAATATATTTTTTTTGTTTATATAAAATTATTAAAATGTCAATCATTTTTTTGTGAATAAATTTTTAACATTTTTTTTGTATGAATTAATTCTTCGTTTTTTTCAAAAATGAATTGAATTATTATTTTTCTCTTAACTTT